TAGACAGTATTTGTAGATTTTGTTTACTGCATGCCAAGGGAGCTTTGTTAGAGTTGTCATAGACATTCATCAGAAATGGAGGCTGTCTTGACACTTGAATTAATACCTCAATGTTGTCACAGGAAACTGGGGAAAAAGTTCCTTTCTCAGATTTTCTTTGACACAGTTTAATTTTCCTAGGAGTAGTGTTTTAAGGTTTCTTAAACCCAAGAGTTGGTCCTTCTAGTTTTATTGGACCTAATAGGAGTGGGGATAGCACCTGGCCCTTGCGGCCTAGTGGCAATAGTCACCCAGTGCATTCAGCCACCCAGTGCATTCCCCCTCCCCGGGCTGGGTTTGAAACCTACCCCTTGCAAATATGTTCAAAAAAAAAATATATATATATATATATATAGGAGTAGGGATAATTGATAACTGATAAGCATATCTATAGTTGCATTATCGAAGTTCAATTATTATATAGGAAATGGTAGTGTTGTTGAGTTCCTAACCATAAAAGGGCAATTCAATTGTGATGAAATTTATAAGGCCAAAAAAAAAAAGAAGAAAGAAGCCAAAAAAAACTGTGATAAAATTTATGTTTGTAGACAGGAAAGATATATCCGGGCAACAAATTAAGGTTTTTGTAGCCATTATTATTTTCACTGGAAATTACCCAATTTTCTGGGATTCAACCGCAGTGTCCTTGACTTGCAGGTATTTAGCCATCACCATCAAATTAATTAAAATTATTTGGAAAATCTTATGTTTCCCTTGCCGATGAAGTTGCTTTATCTTGGGAATAAATTATTACGAGGAGTTACTACATTGTAACCACAAGAGGGGTGTCTCTTTTAAGGATAAGAACTTCATATTTTAAGTTAGAGAAACAAAAAATTTATGAAATTATTGTGTTTTTTAACGAAATTATGTGTTCTAATCAATATTTTGAATTATTATGAATTTAATATATGTATATCAGATATAATTTTAAAAAATCAAATACTATAACTTATGAATATATTTAAGAAAGAAGTTAAAAGTTTTTTGAATTATTAAAGTTGTTGGCTAAATTTAAAATCAAAACTAAATTCAAAAAGTTTGAATGCTAGTTTGGTGATTGACTTGGATGAATATAATAAAGTCTTAATCGAAGGTTTCTTATCTTATATTAGTTTTGAATATATGAGTTTATTTGAATATATAAAATTAAAAAAATAATTTTTAAAATTGTCAAATAATCTTAAAAATTCATAACCCTCATATAGAATTTTATATAATTTTAAATTTACTGATTTTAGAATCATGGTATGTCCCATTTCTTTTTCTATTTTTTTTAAAAAAGGGGAACTAAGATAAGTTGACTAATTTTTTAAAATTCTAAATATTAGGGAGCAAAACCTAAAATTAAGACTAAACTTGGTGGCCGACTAAGCAGTTTACTCAAAGAGGAGAAACAGGGGAAAACGGAAACATTTGTCATTGGCGGCGGTCGTCTCTTCCGCTCGTTGTGTGAGATTTTCCTGGACAACGGTAGAAAATCAGTAATTGAAACGCCAGAGAAGGAGGATAGTACGACAGCTATGGCTCCACACGGCAAGGGATCAGATGCTTCGGAGGAAGCCATGGTTGCTCAAGTTGAAGGCCGCCGTATTTCTACAATCGTCATCATCATCGGTACGAACTCTGTTATCGATCTCATAGAGTATGTGTGAATTTGAAAGTGGGTATTTATGTTAGCATTTCCGTCGAGTTGCAGCTATGCAAGCAGAAGCTTTGCCGGTGGTGAATAAGTTGCAGCTGAAAGAAGAACACAGTTCCGGGTAAGTTTCTTTGTTCTATTCTCTCTTGCGTTGTTTCAGTGATTTCTGCACAAAGCCAGTGGCTAGGGTGTAAGATTACTGAATTTGATATTAAGTTCTTGTTGATAAATGCTAAGTGGTGGCACAGGGCGCATTAAGCTAAAAATACTAGCTTGCTGAGTAAATCTCCTTCCTTCATGGGATTTTGATAGGTTGCAGTTGAAAATATCCGTTCTTTCATGAATTAGATGGAATTTTCACATTCTTTTTTGGGTACTTTGGAAGTCAACGTGCTTACGTTTAAGAGGTTTCAACCTTTCACCTTAACCCTAGAATGAATGTTTTGAAGTTAGTTTATACCAACTTGTCTAAGCTTTTCTAGTGGAACTTATCTATGTTAATAATACTTGAAAAGTTTAAATTTTATGCTGGATGAGAGAATTTTTATTTTTATTTTTATTTTTTATTTTTAAGGCCAAGTTTTGAGTCTTGATTGTGTTACAAACGATATAGCAGGGTAATTGCTGACAATTAAGCTTCTGAAAGTTACAAGTTTTATTGACAAGTTTCAGTGTTATGTATGTTGGGTTCAATATGTCAACCCCCTATTGTGCAGGTTCCCAAAAGAAGTGCCTTGGGTTCGATATCATGGGGTGTACAAAGACCTTAATATACATTTGGTTTGGCCAGGAAAAGATTTAACTCTGGGTAAGTATTTGTTCTTGCAAATTCCTCACACTTATTTAATCTTATTTGCCAAATTGATTCCCTTATTCTGCTGGGTAACTCTTTGCAGGGGTTGATGGTATTGGCACAATTTCTGCAGCTCTAGTGACTTATGCAGCTATACAGGCATTGCAACCAGACCTAATCATAAATGCAGGCACTGCTGGTGGCTTTAAGGTTTGCTTGTTATCTAGGTTGTCTGAAAAGCAAAATATTACTTTCTTTCTCTTTCTTTTTCACTTTTGATTTTAGAATCATCCTAAACATGGTTTTGCATAATTGTTTATGTCTTATTTGCAATAAAGATAATGAGTTTTGTTCCTTTGCAATAGAGTTTGCAATTTTGGGCTAAAAGTTGATCATGATAATCTGCCATGTAAATTCACTTTCTTTATCTTTCAAACTATGATTTCAATAGAATTGGAAGATTGTGCTCTCCTTTTGACGAACACTCAGACTTAAAGTTGATGATGGTAATACCCTGGTGTTTTCAGGCAAAGGGAGCAGACATTGGTGATGTTTTTCTGGCATCTGATATTGCTTTTCATGACAGAAGAATACCCATTCCTGTAAGTTTTCCTTAACCATCAATGACGTAGCTTATCCTGCTTACTTGATGTGGATGGGATGTGAATCTTTTATTGTTATTTTACTTCCTATAACCATGGGCTTGAAAGTTGACAAGCAAGCAAATTACTTTTATATTCTCTATCTAGCCATTGCTAATCGCTAATTGCTAATTGTTAGTTATATAATATTGTCCTTAAAAGTAGTATTATTTGGTTTTGTATATCATTGATATTTACATAGCAACATGAACTGCCGTATGAACACTACAGCTCGCTAGAGAGTCTCCATTTGACACTGCATTCTCTACTGCCAATTCCTTTTTCATTTTTCTTCTTCCATAAATTCACATGGCTTTTCTTACTCTTCCCTAAATTTGCTTCATGCTTTATAGAACCATATTTTACTTCAGTTGTTTGTGCCAGATCTTCAGGAATGGTTTGTTCTGAATTTTCTTTAATAGGTCTTTGATCTCTATGGAGTTGGTCAGCGCCAGGCCTGCTCAACACCCAATCTATTGAAGGAGGTTAACCTGAAGGTGATTATTGTGCTTTGAATATGCTCTCTTGGTGGTAGCTCTCTTGTTCAGATTTCTCTTCCAATTGTTTAGGGCAATGTATTTTGAAACTGCATTCCTCCCTCCTTTTCAAAAACAAACCATGCATATGAAATGTTCAAGAAACCCTTTCGATTTTTCAGGCTGGCAAGTTGTCTACTGGTGACTCTCTGGATATGTCACCACATGATGAAACAGCAATCGTAGCCAATGATGCAACACTCAAAGACATGGAGGTAATAGTCACTGACTATTCATATCTTAATGAGCAATTCGGAAAGCAGGTCATTGCAGTATTAGGGTATTGCTGTCACAACTAGAAATACAAAGTAACTTAAAGAGTTATTCATTAATCTGTGATTTATCATGAAAGAACACTGGAAAATGATGATCATAGAAACATCAACTCTTTTTGTGGTAGCTGGGCCTACCTTTAGTTATTGAGCTATTGGCAGCCCTTGTGTTTACTTGTTGTTTGACTTGGTCGAAGGGTTTGTCAATATGAAAAGGAGAGCGAAATGACTCACATGGTGTGATCTGTTTCCTGTGCTCTACAATGCGTTAACTGCTTCTTCTTGTTGAATCTTGTCTCAGGGAGCAGCTATTGCCTATGTGGCGGATCTTTTTAAAATCCCTGCAATATTCATTAAAGCAGTTACGGACATAGTGGATGGTGATAAACCAACTCCAGAGGAATTCTTGCAGAATTTGGCTGCAGTCACCGCTGCACTTGGCCAGGCAGTTATCCAAGTGATTGATTTTATCAATGGAAAGTGTCTTTCTGAATTTTGACCCATGTCTCCTTATTATTCATCTCTTCTAAACATGTGACAAAGATGTTAGCAATAGAGGATGCTCGATTTAAAGGAACAGCAAGATTTCGTAGAGTGAAGAGGTACTTTGATTTTGGGACATGAATACTGCCTGCCACCTCTAGCTCATCTTCATAATTCCTTATCTCTAACATGGATGACTTGCTTTATACTAGATTTCATGGTGAATGCAATCTGATACAGCTGAAACTGTAAAAAGAGTGTCCAAGATAAACAATTAAAGGTAGGGATTTGATGTACAAATTGTTTCAAGATTTTGTCACCATGCCATCGACACACAAACAAAGATCCATACTTTAAACCAAACTTCTAACAGCCCTAAATAAAATGAAATGCATGTAAACCTTGTTTCCCACCCAATCTTTTTTTCCATGAATAACAATTGGTCACTTCTTTTGTTTCCACATAATCTAATTAGCATGCCATTTCCTCTCCTTATGCTTTGTTCATTAATCTAAGCTAAGCATTGGCTGCCACTGTATATATAGGAGCTGTTTCATACCTTCTTTCAAGCTAGAAGCCCATCTTCCCGCACAGCCTCTCTCCTAGAAAATTTATTAGCACCTCACTTGAAAGAAGAGGAGAAACATGGGAAGTGAAGATGTTTCTCACGTAAGATCCCAGAAGTTGGCAACCCCTGGCAAAGCGACAATTCTTGCCCTTGGCAAGGCTTTCCCTCAGCAGCTTGTCATGCAGGAGCTTCTAGTTGATGGGTATTTCAAGAACACCAATTGTGATGATCCAGAGCTCAAGCAGAAGCTATCCCACCTTTGTAACACTCTAAACATTACTCTCTTTTTCTTTTTGTACATCTAATAATAAACTATACAACTGTTAGCAATTACTTACTTTAATTTATAGATTTCATCTTCAATACAATATTACTTTATTTTATCCATTAATATATGGTATCTCTTAAAAAATTATAATTTATGGTGTAAACAACAATTTAAAAGACAGTCGTTACTTGCCTGAAAGCCTCGTCTCAACTCATTGGATTGTCACGAGGACATAATCTTATGTAAAGGTAATCCGTAAGTAGTTCCTTTCTTTTAAACTGAAATAACTGTCATTTTCCTCTCTCTGGCATTTTCACAGGCAAGACAACTACTGTTAAGACAAGGTATGTGGTAATGTCCAATGAGATCCTAAAGAAGTATCCGGAGCTCGCACTTGAGGGTCTCCCAACCGTGAAGCAGCGGTTAGATATCTGCAACGACGCCGTCACACAGATGGCAGTGGAAGCAGGGCTGGCTTGCATCAAAAAATGGGGGAGGCCTATATCCAACATAACCCACTTGGTTTATGTCTCCTCAAGTGAAGCTCGGCTGCCAGGCGGCGACCTCTACCTTGCAAGAGGACTTGGTCTCAGCCCCGAGACTCAACGGGTCTTGCTCTACTTCAGTGGCTGCTCTGGTGGCGTGGCTGGCCTTCGTGTGGCGAAAGATATTGCGGAGAACCATCCCGGAAGCAGAGTATTGCTGGCTACGGCTGAAACCACCATTATCGGGTTCAAACCGCCTAGTGCAAAGAGACCATATGATCTGGTTGGCGTGGCACTCTTTGGAGATGGTGCTGGAGCCATGATCATAGGCTCAAACCCAGTTTCCGGGATTGAAAAGCCTCTTTTCGAGCTTCATACTGCGATCCAGAATTTCTTACCAGATACTGAAAGGATCATTGATGGGAGGCTGACAGAAGAAGGGATTAGCTTCAAGCTCGACAGAGAGCTTCCTCGAATAATCGAAGATCATGTCGAAGGTTTCTGCGGGAAATTGATGGGTACTGTTGGATTAACAGATAAGGACTACAAAAGGATGTTCTGGGCAGTTCATCCAGGGGGGCCTGCAATCTTGGACAGGATGGAGAAACGGCTAGAATTGCTGCCGGAGAAACTGAGGGCAAGCAGACGAGCTTTGATGGACTATGGAAATGCTAGCAGTAACACGATTGTGTATGTGCTGGACTACGTGATAGAGGAGAGCTTGAAGAAGAAAACAGAGGAAGACAATGAATGGGGCTTGATTCTGGCATTTGGACCTGGAATTACCTTCGAGGGAATTCTTGCAAGGAACATGACAGTCTAAAAATGACACCTAAACTAGTCGACCATTGCAAAATAAATTGGATGTGCAGAAAAGTTTGTAATATTTAACTTGCAGAAGATTAGTGAAATTGATACAAAATGTTAACCCAACTTTGTTTCTCCAATACAAATATATCCACTCAAGTTTTCTGAGCCCTAAATTTACAAAAGAACCAGCATTCCAGTAGTAAAAAAACAACTGTGTCGTTTTCAGAGCAGAAACCGCAACTCATACAAAGACCTACATCTGTTACACATCTGTAGTTCTAATGGCAGTGAGCTCAACAATCACAAGAAAAGAGGATGTTTGCTTACACCACTCCAGAGGGAAGCCGCAGAACAAGCTGTCCTCCAAAGACACTGCAATGCGTAGAATTGTTTGTAAGATAATCTTGGGATTGATAATAAGATATATTTTCACACTTGCAAAGTCTGCAACAAACCTCTTGACATAGTAGTAACAGAAGTCAGCTAAAATGAAGGTTTGGACAATTTCTGAGATAAGAACCATAGAAGGCCATAATCCATAGCCCAAGGCCACCAGCAAGTGACCTCGACTGTCTAGAACCTGTTAAGAGCAACAAGGAGAATGACTTTAGTGGCAGATTCTCAATTTATTAAGTAAATACCCCCATATCAAACTAGTATTTTCCCATTTTATTAATGCAGAACAATAGCAAGTATCTTATTGACATCTATTCTCTTCAGCACAAAGCTTATTATGTGGCTAATCAAACAAATGTTGATCATACTTGGGGCATAAATTAAGCACCATGGCCAACCAAATAAACACACAACAGCTAGAAGCACCAGCTACATACAAACTTTGACAGTAAATCTGCCCATAGTTTCATTAATCATGCAGACTCAAGGTAAAGTAGAACTCATCTTTCAAAAATAATACAAATTACATATTCAACAAAACCCAAACAAATTCAAAATTCACAAGATCAAACCTGGAGAACCCAGTGGGCACAGCTGAGGAACCTTGCAATACCCAAGGCAAATACATAATGAGCAGTGAAGGGCTCAACTATCTGAAAATTCAACAAAGAGGATAAGCATAAACTCAGTGTAATTAGATTAAACTCATAGCCAAATCTGCTACCTTTGTATTCTGCATAACTCGCAGTTGGGGTAACACTGAAGCAGCTTCCAAATACACACAGAATGCCCAGAAAATCCTGTTTAATAGATGATGAGAAGTTGATGGGTGAATTAACAGAGCTAATACTGCACAAGGCACAACCTGTGAACAAATTCATAAGCAAGGATATTAGTTTCATGTAGAAATAAGAACTGTTGCACCAAAATAAGCCTAGAGAGAAAGACAGGTATGCATTTGACCTGAATCTCATGTTTAACAGCACAAGAAAAAGATGAACCTTCTAATTTCAATTTAGTTACAACCCATGAGATGGTAATGGTTGAAGTACATATCAGATTGAATCAAATAAGAAAGGGAGAAGTAGGAGGAAGTTTGAAGCTTTATGTTCAACAAATAATGAGACTGCAGAAGATGCCAAGTTTAGAGATTGTTTTGAACTTTGAAATCATGGGAATAATATCATGAAATGAAGAACAAAGAAATTATTTGCCTCCAAAAGCATGGATGTCTATATCATGGAAATTTGCCTCCTGATGAAGGAAACAAATGAACTTGATTCCAACCACAATCATTAATAACACATTAACAACACTTCAATAAAATATCCTGGCTTTACAAGACATCTGACTGACTTTCAGGACCATAGCTCTTGACTTTAAAAAAATGTAAGATAAAGGAGGCAGAGACCAAAACAAAAAGATTTGACATTAATCAAACAAAATGCAAGATTAGTAATGCACTTATTGCTCCACAGAACAGATCAGAAGAGATAAGAAGAAAAGAAGTGTATACAACTAGAGAAAACTCACCACATAATATATTGCAAAATTGTCCTTGTCTTCCATGTAACTAGATTTTAGTTTGAAACGGATCATATAAATAACCCACAAGGTAGTGCCCAATGTGGCTAAATCAAGTACGGTATGTATATCATATTCCATGACAAAGCTGCAGTACAGCCTAACAGCTAAGAAGATAGCTGTTAGTTCTTGGGATTTCAGAGATAGTCCTGCAAAAAAATTGGAGAAAATTTTAATATAAGTTAATGGCACAATATGCAAACCATCAGGTAAATCTTCTACAACTACATCAAGAGGCTGCTAGCAATAATGCAGATGGATACTGCAAGGGAGAATACAGCTAGTCACAATCTAAATCTAGGCAGCATGGGCTATTGTTTAATTTATGACACTTCATCCAAACAACAACACCACTTATAGAAACCCCTTTTTTTAATATAAATATAAGAAATTTTTGATACAGGTTAATCACACTATATCCAAACAATACCTATTTGACCTTTGTCAGCATTACTAACAAGGCTTACACAAATATAACATAGCTAGATTTCTACAGAGAATGAAAAACACAAAGTCAAATAAGGCCTCAACTCGAAGAAAATTTGATCATAAAGAAATTCAATTTCCGTAAACAAAAACAAACCATGACCTCAAATACCAATTGCAGCATCAACAAGCCAAAAAAGGAAGACAGGCCTCAAAAGAGAACCTCCTCTTGCTTGAAAAGAAATCATTTATCAAAAAGTTACTTATCAACCTTTAATGAGGGAAGAAATAGCTTATAGTACAAATAACGACACACATATGTCACTGACCTTCTCTAAAAGGACCCATCATAAACTTCGGCCTAGAACAACTGAAAACTCAAAATTTCCCATTCAGAAGCATAAAATTATCAAAACAAGCAACCAAAAACGTTGAAAATTTAACCTTCCCCTTCATGACCTCCGAAAAATAGAAGGAAAGCAGAACCTCAATGCATTGAATTCAAGAAAAAAAAAAAATAAACACAAAAAAGGAAATCAAACAAACTATAATCCAATCCAAAGGCAATTTTCCTATTAATCCAAAAAGCAATGAAACAAAATATGGGGGCTTGGGGGTTACCGGCACAAGTTTTCTCCTTCATGAGCTTGTAGATGAGCACGGAGATTCCTATTGAGTGCACAGCTTCGGCGGCGACGAAGAGGTTATCGTGGTCATGAACGATGAAACGGAGGAGGACGAGTGCCGCCATCCCGGCCACAACGGCCAAAAAGGCCTTGACTTTGGGCGGTTGACGCCTCACCCATGTCGATACCGTGTGGATCGGCGTCCTTTGCGCTCTCATGTTGTCTTCCGGCAAGGTAAATGGAAAGTGTGAGAAAGAGTGGGAAAATAAGATATTGAGAATGGGGATTGGAGAAATTGGGTATTTTGCTTTTACTATTTTTTCGCCAAAGCACTTCCTAAATTATTGCATGCTTAATTAATTTCTTAATCCAATAAAAATTTTTTCTTATATTAGAAAAAAAATGAGAAATTTATTCGGGTCCTTTCTTTTTGTATCGGGCGAGAAAACTAGGATCTGAAAAAGCAATTGTATTTTGAAAAAAGGTTTTTTTTTTGTAATTTAGAATAGAATAAAGTATATAATCATAATAATTAAATAGGGGTGGATTTTAATATTTAATAATTTTTATTTAATAAATTTTATGGTTTAAATTATATTAAATAAATTTTAAACTTTAAATTTTATAGTTTAATATATATTAAATTATAAAAATTTTTATTATTTTTATGATTATTTTATTTTAATTTACAAAATAATGATTTTTTATTCTTTATAAGATGATTATAATTAAATATTTTAATATTTGTAAAAATATAAGGAGGTTTTGATCTTCACCTTCTTGTCTTATAGGTATGTTTCTAGAACTTTTTGTAACTACGAGCATATAATCAACAGCTTTCACCTTCATTAAATTTGAGGAAAGCGATAAGTTAGTCTTGTTGGAAAGGGATCTTAAATTTTATTTATTTCTTTGAGAGATTTAATACAATTTTAAATAAAACAAAACTTTGCCAGTTCCAGCAACAGTGTGGCATGTTGATGTTATGGAAAATTGACGTCAGGCAACTTGGATTTTGGAGTAAAAACAAAAATATAATCCATTAATTTTAAAATTAAGAGATGTATATTCTTATAAAATATATAATTATTAAGCCACGGAAACTGAACTCGATCTTGCGGGTCAAGTAACTTTAGTCATTGTTATAAAGTTCATATTCTTTTTTAAAAACAATGATTCGAACCAGTTTCATGATTAAATGTTCAAAAAAAAAAAAAAAAAAGTCACGAAAACTTAAAATGCGAGTCAAATCATATTTTGGTTCAAATTGAGCAATCAGAAATCATGACGCAGGGCTGGCCGACCACAAAAGGAATTTCATTTCCACACATTTCTCTTTTCCTTTGAATGAATCCCACTAAAAGTAAAAAAAGGCAACAAAATGATATTATAGGTTCTACAAAATCCTTATGGGGGTATTTAACTTGACTCCGCTTCTTCCTTTTTCTTCTTCAAAAGTTGTGTGATTAACAGATATATTTTGTTAGAGACTAAAGAGGGAAGGTGGCTAACATGTCCATGAATTTGATCTTTTCAAGAGTCCTGGCTTCATTTGTCTGTCTTCTTCCAGAGTTATCATACCAACATGAGATGGGTCTTCCAGAAACATCTTTGCCACCAAATAACCAGCAATGGACCAGGTCTGGTTTTTCCTCGCCTGCTTCCCTATATACCGACCAAGCTTTCCATCATAATATTCAGGCCAGCTGTCCTTCATCAACCTGGTTTCAGCTTTTTCAATGGCCTTTCTTGCAATGTGTGGACGTCCAGTCTTTATGCATGCTGCCGTGAGAAACCATAGAAGCACTGTACATGCAAGGTCAAGAAACTTGTGACTGCTTTGTATAGTTCAAAGTCAATTGGTATTGTGTTGAAGACTATAAGCAGGTAACAACAGCAAAATTAGGAGTTAAATAAGTTTGTCAATCTACTACAACCTTATTTGATGCAAGAAAAGAGGCATTTTTCAGGGAAATTTGTGAAGGAAAGAAGAGTCCGTAAAAGGGCTAGAGGAAGTATAAAATATGGTGGCTGTGGCTGATCTAAGATTTATCCTAAAAACAGCCTATCCATACAATATGCACTTAAGTATTCTATGGCAATAGTTTGCATTACCTGGCCACGATCCTCCATTGTGGTAGCTCCATCTGGTGTTTTTGGGGTCACATCCTGTGATAATCCGCCATTCATGGTTTTCTATGGCCGGATAACAAACTTTTAAGGGCATGTCTCCAACCAATTCCTCCCACCGTTCTTCTATAAGTTCCATAATTGCATTGGACTGTTCAGGAGTTGCCAATGATGATAAAATTGCAATGCAATTGCCCAAGCAAAACCAACGAAAATCCATTCTTGCAGGGCTAACATTACCAATGAAATAGCCTCCACAATCTGGCATAAAATCAAAAACCCAATCTGGAAGAGAATCAGGAATTACATTGAACTTGTTAACTGCTGTGTGAGAGTACTCCTCGGTTTTATACCGATATATATCATTCAGTTGCTTCTTGTCTAGCCAAAAGTAACTTCTCATATGATAGCTTAGGGCATGAAGACGTTTAACTATTCGATCTATGAACTCTTTGCCTTCCTGATCATGCTTGAGTAGAAGCAAAGCACATCTTAAAGACATGAAGAAAAGTGCTTGGATTTCTATAGGATACCCATATACACCCTGAAGTCACAGATAAAACAGATATAAAATTCAGATAAGAAACATTTAAAAATTAAAGACTAGCAACACCATGCATTGGTTCTTAAACTAATTAGTCTATTCTTGTAAAGTACAAACAATTGCAGGGAAGTGCGTGCATTATAGTGGATATGAAGCACTGGCCAAATTTTTTATGAACCAAACACTTGCCATTGTCCATCAAGAAACCTTTCATCATAGCAGAGTATGGGAGCAATGCATTTGCCTATTTTATCTTGCATGCCTTATTTCATCAACAAAGAATTTCATCGTGGGTGATGCATTCCAAACAACTGACAAGTTCATGCACATTTAGATCCTTTAGCTTTTTCGTTAATATTTCTGTCTATAAGATACAAATAAAAGTCATGCACATTTATACCACATGCCCCATCACTCACCAAGTAAGATGAAGTGTAATGGAATGTGTTGATTGCAAGTTTATTTTATGCATTTTATAGATAATGTAGCAAAGTTTCAGCTAATGAAATACTGGATGCCGCTGGTAAAACGACAGGAAATATACCATGAGAAACTCACCATTCTACGATCAATCATGCAGCACCCATCAGCACAGAGAAGAGTAGGGAAGGTCTCGAACCCCTCTGAGAGACATAAACTCAGAATTAGGCGCATCCCCTTCTGGCATTCTGGCATTTCAGCCAATGAAGTGTCTCCAGTAGACTTGGTATATGCCCGTAGCAAAATTATCCACCAAAATCCAGAGTCAACAGGAGCAACTCTTCCTATTGCAGTCTCCCCAAAATCTGCCACTAAAGTCTCATGTTTCCTAACAGGGTCATGGAGCACTTTGAAACTAGCTGGCATCACTCCTTCCCCTAACTGAAATCTATCAATCTTTTTCTCCCATGACTGAAGGCGAAGAGTCTTCAAAATGAAGTTCTTTACTATCTCGGGTCGCCCTTCCATCAAGAAAGCCAATGCACTTGGGACAAAGTCTCTTACAAACACCTACAAAGATAATGGATGCACTCACTCACATTATATAACTCAGCAGATAGTGCTGATAAAAAAAAAAAAAAAAACAAACAAACAAACAAACTTTAACAGTAAGTGCATCGCTAGTTTTTGAGAATGACCATCAAAAGTTAAAGGCTAAATGGAAGACAAACAGTGAACTGGATAAATTTCCTTGCCACGAATAATAATAATAAAAAGAAGAACAGATGGGAAAAAATAATTGAAAAAAAAAAAAGAAGAGAGAACACTTAAACAAATGAATCAACCGAACACGTTATTCTGTAGCCAATAATGAAGAGTAGAATGTCCAACTCCATACCCCTTAAAAGGAAAAAGTATCAAGTGATGATATTCTTAAGAATAAGAATTTTCATTTTCCAAATTATTTCAATTTGTTGATCACATTGTTATGAACATACATGGTCCTAAAATCTATAGTCAAGTTATCACTCTAGCATAAAATTACAGGGGCCATTAAATAGAACAAAAAAATGAGTTTATGAATATTAGTTGGTCAAATTAAATGCAAGAACATGCATACATGACAAAGTCCATGCTCATATGATGCAATCCTCTCATAAACAGACACAGGACTGCTGAACATGAACAAATAAATGATAATATGATCAGCTCATGAACTGAAAGTTTTTCCTTGCCAATACTATCACAACGTTAAGTCTCAGGACATAAATTATATTGAACTAAATATCTGTTTCTGTAAGATAGAGAAACAAGGAAATAGGGTCTTCACCTGATCATAATTCAATTTTTCCTCAGAATTCTCTAATGCTGCAATTGTCCCAACTGGTTGACCACGGAAATACACCAATGACTGATTCAAGGCTTCCCTAGCTTCAGCAACCATTTGATGTGGCTCAGATACGGTTTGTGGTCTTGGAGTATTAAGAACTGATCCTATATGATCCTCATGCTCAACTTTGTGGGAAGAAATATCAGCATTTCTGAGAGAAATAGGTGGGAGTGACAGACTAGATAATTCACCGAGTAACATGACCTCACAAGAACTCTGCCTTTCGATATTCAGAGGCCTTGGCTTGTCAGACAACTTTGAGAAATCAAACTCTTCAAGTTCAGCCGAGGCATCAAGGAGGTCAGTAGTTCCGGGGTTTCCATTCTGATTCACATCCACATTCATCGTAGGCATTTCCAAAATATGCCAGAATTTGGAAATCAGCAACCTATGATGTTAGTGTCCTAACACCTGCAGTTGAAAACAGATAATGGGTTTCCCATTTACGCAATGAGCAGATAAAAAACTAGAGGAGAAAATTTCTGATTGAATGGACAGAGTAAACACTGCATAATAAATACACATTGGTGAACCCAAAAAAATATTGATAATCCTCTAGTTAGCACAAAAAAAAATACTGATAAGCCTCTAGTTAGCACAAATTTTGACATCCAACCAAAAGTTCAACCTTCTGAAAAACTAGCCTGATCCAACCCTTTTGCATCTATAGAAGAGGTGGGTTTCTCAATCTTTCTGCTAGAAAACTAGGAAGGAAACCATGTTCAATAAGCTTCTTCTTGTTCAGATTATTCCATTCTATCATCAAGCAACCAAAAGCCATGTAAACACACCATGAAATTTCATCATGAAGAACATGATGCATTTAAGATACAGAGAACTAAGTTACCCAAAACCCACTCCTTCAAATATCATCAAGATCCGCAAATGATTGAAGAAGGATTTCTCAATCTTCAAGCTTCATTCTAAGCAACTGACACAAAATTAAATGATATTCAAAGACTTTCCTTGTTAAGATTACATCTCATTTTCTCATCAAGCAGAGGAAAAGCGTATTTACACAAGATGAAATTTCATCAAGGAGAAAACAAAGCACTATAGAAACCAAGAAACCAATTTGATGAAAACCCACTTCTCCAAATACCCTTAAGATGAATCTAACTACGGAAAACAACAGGAGAACCCCTCAAAGATTCACTCAAACATAAAGCATGCACGTAAAATACGACAAAATAGGAATCAAGAAAACAAACAGGAACAACGCCTAAACATTACATGGTCAAGTTTCATCACAAAATCAACATCTGACCGATGAGAAGAGAAAATTTTCCATTTTCCATTTCCCATAATGAGAAAATAAATAACAAACCTCAGAAAGGGTCGCTTCCACTACCCAACTTGACAATCGAAGAAACGGGAGAAACAACCTCACTCAAGGACTGAGCACTGGTATATATATTAGCATTTGGCTATTCCAGTGCCGAGTGCTGATATATATATATATATATATATATACACACACAC